AAGTAACCTCTATATTAGTCGGGACATCTATCTCATAATGATGGAGAACCTCTGTCTCGACCACCATCTGTAGGTCTAGATCCTCTACTTCGGATATTGCGAGGTGAGCGAAACTGCTCGACCGACATCTAACTCCTGTGAGAATTGGTTGGGGTTACTATTCTCGCCCAGATATGCAAGTCATAGACGTCATTTCCCCTCAAACGAGCCCTCGTTGCAGTAGTTGCAGCTTTGTCACGCTCCTAGAAACAATTGTGTCGTCTGATCCTCTGGTCCTCATTACAAATACAACGAAAAATGATACAATTTAAATTATCAGATTTTTAAAAAAAAACAAAAAACTTCATGCATTTCCTGGATTTTTCAAAATTTCCGGTTAACCTCATAAACATTTTTTCACTACTAGTTTTTTCAAAATCACCGATATAACTACTTTGCCTTTTTTACAGGTTTCTAAAAAATGGAAGAAAACATGAATTTTAATTGGTTTTTTCAAATTATCCGGTAGAAAACATGCATTTTTACCGTTTTTCTCAAAGTATACAATAAAAGAATATGCATTTTTATCGGAATTTTTAAAATATTTGGAAAAAAAATATGCATTTTTACCAAATTTTCAAAATATCGATAAAAACGCATGAGAAACATGAATTTTTTCGAACATACATTTTTAAAAAATCTGATAAAAATGCATGTTTTTTTTCAAAAATTCAATAAAATTGTATATAATCATAAATTTAGTAGTTTGATTGAAATATCCAGTATATTTAAAAGGCTTTAAAAAAACTCGAAACGCTCTAAAATTTTATATTTGGCAAGATTAATATAGTGAAAGAGAGTTTTATAGTGATAGCATAACATTACGTGGGGTGTTGGGTCAAATTTGAAGGTTGGCATTAGGGCTGGAAATGAGTCGAGTCGAGTCGAACTCACCTCAGCTCGGCTCGACTCGTTAAGAATTGTTCGAATTCGAGTTCGAGTTCGAGTTCGACACGAACTTTTTTTTAAGCTCAAACTCGACTCGTTATAAGTTCACGAACAGTTCGGCTCGACTCGTTAGGTTCATCTCATTAGGTTCAGCTCACATGGTTCACGAACTTAAAAACTATTTTTTTAAATATATATTTTTTAGTATATTTGACATTTTAAATAAATATATATTTTTAAAATAAAATATTAAAATAAAATAAAAGTTATCATATTGAAATTTAACTTTATCTTCGAAATCTACTACTTCAAAACCTACACAACTTTCAAGAGATACATTTGAGAGTCTAATTCAAAAACTAATAAATTGAAGATTAAATTTGTCTAAGATTTGAAGTAAATATTTAAACCTAATCTTAAAGACAGTATAATTCTTTTCATATGTAATCGAGTTGACTCATGAACCTAACGAGTCGAACTATGTATAGTTCAAGTTCAGCTCATTTAGTTAACGAACTTAATTTTTCGCTCATACTCAACTCATTTGGTTCATGAACCTAGTTCAACGATTTAATTGTCGAGTCGAATTCCGAACTATCTTCGAGTTGGTTTGGTTCATTGCCAGCCCTAGTTGGCATAATAAATTCTCTAAAATTTGAAGGTTGGCATAATAAATTCTCTAAAATTTGTATTATTTTTCACTGTGATCAATCACTTATTGGATACTGAATAATTTCAATTTGAGTGAATACTCTACCGAGGAAAATTTATTTTAAAATGCTTGTATAATAAAGCTCAATAGTTCCCTTTTTGTGTGATATTGTTTATTTTGGCTTTTTTAGAAAATGATATTTATAGTGTAATATAATTGTGTAAAAAAATTAATAAGAAAAATTTTAGTTTCAAATAAAATTTTAATTTGAATAATTATTTTTAAAATTTCATTTTAGATATTTTATCATTTTATTGAAATTTTTTTGGATATCAAAATTTTAAAAAATTACGTAATTTTGAAGTTATATCAAAATTTCATAAAAATTATTTTTAAGATACAATTTTTTATTTAAATTGCAATTTCGACTATGTTTTAAATTTTTTTTTAAATAACCAATTTTTTTAAAATTTAATACCCAAATAACCAATATTTCAAATTATCTACCAAAATAATCATGTTTCAAAAAACAAAGTTGCACATAAGAGAATACAACAATGACAATGACACTCAAAATTGGCTTCAGGCACGACCTTCATTGGCACATGCATTATGAACATGCCAATGTCAATGGCGCATGCATTGCTTCCCTACGAGGATGCAACATTCCCTCTGACGCATGCATGCGTTGTATTTTTTTATAAATTAAAGTTATAGTTAATTAAAAATAAAATAATTGTTGAAAAAAATATTAATATTATTAAATTTAAATAGAATTACAAGGCGAAAAACTTGTAAACAAATTTTAATAACATGTTTGATTATAACGGTCATCGATTCCACAATCCGGCAGTACCCTTCGTCGTTGAGGCTGCACACGTTTCTCCAGAGGTGGTTGTTGTCTTCTAGGATTCATCTAAGGTGTTCGGTGTCACCCTGGATTCACCTAAGGTATTTGTAACGAGGTCCCTAGAACATTAGTGTCATTAATAAAATCTAGCATCTCTTTCCAGTCGCATGTGTTGCCGTAATCGAGTTTGGTGCCTATGTTTTCGTAATTGGGTCGTGTTAGTTGGGTTACAGGTGGTTGGGCTAGTTGGTTGAATTGGAAAATTGATTCATTTTGAAAACGAAGCAATTATTGTTATGGTATTTGATAGATATGTGTTGGTTGGATGCTTTGGCGGTGTGATGTTTGGGTGTTTTGTTAGTGTGATGTTTGGGTGTATATTGGTTAGATGTTATGGTAGGATGTGGTTGTATCATATGCCTCATCGGTGTTATGGTAAGATGTAGTGGCGACACATATTTGTTGGTGTGAGACCAATGTGATACTATTGGGTCGAATTAGATAGATGTTTATGTGATTACGAAAAGTTTCAAGCCTTTCGTATGTCTTGCACCCGTGTCATAGCAGCATGTTTATCTGCTCGTCAGGACCCTTCCAACTTACTATCTGTCATTTACGAAGTCATAAACGTATGAAATATTTACAACAATAACTTTCCGGTGGTATCGAAGGAGGATTATTGGCCTACACATTAAGGGGACATAGTTTGCCACAACAAAAATATGTGAAGGAAGAAAAAGGTCGCACAACAACACACGTATTCGAACCGAAATGGATACGGCGAACAAAGTGGTAAGATTATATAGTACATGCCATCAGCCTGGACACAATCGTAAAAATTGTCCTAATATTGAAGAAACTCTATAACATAATTATTGTATTCACTTTTGATATGTAATTAATTTTTTATAACCATTGAATTTCATCTTGAATACAACGTTCATTTCATATTAAATACATGTTTCGGTTACAACAAAATAAACACAAGCACGCACAAAACAAATAAAACAACTAAACACAACAATATATTTAGGATATTACAACAATCAGGACAATCTCATCTGAATCATGCATCATAACACGACAATCACTGTCAGTTTTAACTGACTCCCACATATGATGTACTCCATTATTGTTGAACACCGGAACAAACATTTCAATTCTTCTAATCTACAGTTTTTAATGTCTCCGTCTAACCAACAGATTCAATTCTTCACAAGATGCTCGAAAGTCTCAGTGTTACAAAGTTGGATCTTCATCGGAAGCTTTACTTGCGAATAAAAAAAATTAAGAACGGAATGAGAAGATGTGTGACAAAATGATAGAGAATAAGTGATCTATTTACAATAAAAAAATAGTACAACATAGGTGTCAGAAGGAATAACACCTCTTCTTAAGACAACATGCATGCGCCAAAGGAAATGGCACATGCATTAACATATTTATAATGCATGCACCAATCAAGGTGCAGAATGAAGTCAATTTTGAATGCATGTGTCATTGTCATCAACACATCCTCTTAACTGTCAATTTTGAATGCATGTGTCATTGTCATCAACACATCCTCTTAACTGCACTTTTTTTAAAGATGGGTATTTTGAGAGATAATTTGAAATGTTTAATTTGGGTATTAAATTTTAAAAATTGGTTATTTGAAAAAAAAATCGATTATTTTCTTTACTAGCATGTTTTGTTATAGTAATCTACTTTTGTCGCGAGCCAATGATTCTTCGTCGTGATTGCATCAAAATCACAAATTGGTAATGCAAGTGGGTGCACATTTATACACAAATTAAATGTGGTAATAGACACATAGTCTCAAGACAGGTGTTCAGAACACACTTATGCCTTTGACTAGATATTTGGTAATCAGACAGACAAGTGCAGTGATGACTTTTTCTCAACTGGACCCGTACCCCAATTAAAATAGAAAGCAAAAGAATTGGTTTGGTGTCACAAAAATTATTAAAACTCATCCTACTCATACAGCACTAGTTATTCATAATATTTATTTGGATACATGGTATAAGACGGCAAAAATTGACCCAAACCTAACAAGGTGGGGTACCAATTAGTCTCAATCTGATTGTTAGTTTCAGTCATTCAAATGTTATGTCAACCAAACAAAATGATTTAATTCTTACCTGTATGCATCATAGTTGAGATAGTAATTAATTATATCTAGTTCTTTCTACAAGAATTGAATTGACATAGACATCATCAGCAATAAATATTAACAACTTAAAACAATTCAGTATTTAAGCTTGATCAAAAGCTTCATCAGTGAGGAATGCTAGCAAATATGTATTACATATATATATATATATATTACAAAATTCACTAAACATCATTTAGTTTAAATTTACTTGCAGGACTATGAAACAACGTACAGAATAAATTACAGAATCGATACAACTTATACAACAAGAGGAGAAGAGAATATTACTGATTGCATATCTGAGATTCTCACCTGCATGCCAGGGTGCTTGGTGCTTGATGAAACGTGTGACTGCGCCTACCATTTTTATGTGCAACAACTCGGCAGATGATTATTGCATATTAACACAGTTCTCACTCACAGGCTGGTTTAGTATCAAAGCTTGTCAAGCAGATGGCAAAGGCTTGAAAGGCAGAGAGAGGATAAGAGTAGTCCATGGTGAATATATCTTTTCCAATCTTTCCAAACTGCAAGATTACCCTTTCTTGCTCAGCAGGCAAAACATTATGAGACGGATCAACAGCAGCTACAAGTTGAAAGTTCTTTACAGATGCTACTGTAACACGCCCCATAAAGTTTAGGCACCAACACTGGAGCTGCTCATGCCATCTGGGAGATTTGTTTTTGAGTACCAAGGGCTCGATGGAGCCTTCAGTCAGTTCTGGTAGCTCGGATAGGCTGCCAGAGTACAAATCTGACATTGGGCTTTTTTCTTTCAGTGCTGGTGAGGGAGAAAAAGGTTCGCCAAATATTTGAGGTAACGCTGTTGGAGTTGGGGCATTTCCACCTTCCTCGATAGCTGAGATAGGTATAGAGTTCATGGTGCAGTGCACTCTTCTTGGCCCTCTAGTCCAGAGAGCATTCAGCTCATAGGAAACAGTGCTAACAAGATTGCTACATGCTGGAACTCTTGCTGGCACCTGCTTAGAATTAAATCTCCCACTTGGACGATGCTTTGGTTGAACTGCAGTATCATGTGGGGGTTGACTGTCGTATACATTGAATTTGGTGCCCCAAAAATTAGACCTGCAAAATGTATACAAATCAAGCTGTAGAGATTGAACTGAGCAGGATGAAAAGCCAATAAAAGAGCAATCATAGTTTCTGTCAACCAAAACTTGCCTCAGTCTACCAACATATTTGTTGCTGCCTCGAGAAAAATCGTCTGCAGCCAAGGATATGATAAAGCCAGTACCTATGGCCCTTCTTATCTTTCTAGCGGCTAGTAATAACTTATTACTCTCATGCTCCGCTATACAATTACGACCAAACCAAAACAAACTGATTAAATGCATAGATTAAAAAATACAAAAAGAAAAAATGAGGGTGCTGACAATGAACCACAATCTGAATGAAACCCACAAATTTAGAGCAAGTTGAATTTCAACATTCTAGTCATGCTTTGTCAATGCAAGCTTGAAGAGTAATTTAAAGATGAGAAATTTGAAAATTGATGTTCCTTGTCTTAATAAAAGGTATGAAATGTTTAAGCAGAGAAATACTTACATGGCACCAAACCTAAGTACAACACAAATGTAGAAGTTTCTCTGTTCCTCCTAATAAAGCACTGTATTGGATAATCACGGGGACCGGGCTATTCATACACATAAAGGAAAGAGAACATAAGAAACACAAAAAAAAAAACAAGGGATAAGATTAATTTGGATTGGACCAGAAAAGGTATGAAGAATTTATTACCTGCTTCAATGAAATAGGAAATGTAATCCTTCCACATTGCTGAGGAGTCTTGATGATCTCTTTCATAACGGACCTCCAAGATTTACATACCGAACCACAAAAGACAACAACAGCACGCGCAGGCCAAGATGTCTCACTCTCTTCAACCCTCCGGATTATATCCAAAAGCAATTCAGGTGGTAGACTTGCCCACTGTCCCTGTTGAATAGGTTCAGTCGGAGTTACATCCGGAGCAACATGTGACTTCGACCGAGAGAGCCAATGCTTGCTCTCACCACCCCGCCTTGATATGCTACCTATTCCATTTTTCATCCCCTTAAGTTCCCGGACTATACTTTTCAACGACATGAATCCACGCCTTACAAACTATGCCAATCCAACCACAACAAGCTTCTAGATTTCTGATGCTAACTAACAAAAACACAGACTCGTGATAAGTAGATAACCAAACATATATAACATTTAGCTCCTTATAATTATAACGAACACATTTCATGCAAACATTGTTCTAGGTTGAATAAATTGAAAACCCCACCAACAAAAAAAATCATCTAGAATCAAGTCAACAACTAGAAACAAGTCAACCAAAATTAGATCTAACTAATTCCTCTAAATTGAGCAACTCGCTCAAAGATTAGATGCATAACTAATCATAAACATGTTGAAAAATCAACCTTTGATTTTCTTACTTAAGTCAAACCCCCAAAAATTTAACTACCATTTGGTCAAATTCATAATAATAACTCATGAAAAGCTGCAACTGTTCACATACATAAAAAAAATGCAATCTGAGACGAACATTGAAGGAAGAAAAAAAAAGCTACATCATGAATCAAAGAAGAAAAACCTAAACCCAGAGAAATCATGCAATTAGCATCAAAAATAGAAACTGAATAAAAGGGGCTAACCTGAAATTGAATCGGAGAAACACGAGCACGAGCAAGAAGAAGAAGAGAAGAAGGTGAGAAAACGTTATTTGAATTTGTGGCGAAAATTAGTTGACATGGGTCAGTTAAGCGCCACCGCGATTCTGCGGAATCGCGTTTGTGGAATTAGATCAAGCTTTTTTATCGTGTCTCATTTTTATAATAATTGATTATTTTGGTGAAAGTGAAATAGGATCTGCTTTTGAACTCAACGTGGGGGTCGTGTCAGTGTTTTCATTTTCTTATTTAACTGTTAAATTTATTTCTCTCTTTAATGATTTTAATTTAACTCTATACTCTCATTAATACAAATAGAAACATTTCCACAGTTTTCATAATCATGGACCAAGAAAAAAAACGAAATTTTCTAATTTAATTTTTTTCCATATATTTTAATTGTTATGATATAAATATGTATATTATGCTATTCACCTAATATTATCTAATTTCTAAATTTAAAAACTGTAAAAAGAAAAGTGTATATTTATCCATCTAATAGTTAATGATATAAATATGTATACTATGCTATTCATCTAATATTATTTAATTTTTAAATTTAAGAAACTCACTTATAATAAATTTATATTAAAAAAAATAAATTAAAAATTAAAAAAAAAATCCACTTATAATAAATTCGTATCAGAGAAAATAAATTAAAAATTAATTTTATATTTTAATTAAATTATATATAATTTTTAAAATAATATTTTTTAATTTAATTTTTAATTATGTTTTTAGAACACAAGTTAAGGTTACCCTTTATTGTTTAAATACTAATGGGAAGTTGTCCAAAACTATTTTGTGGAGTTTAATTTGCATGCATTGCAGGGTAAATAGTTTTAAATTGTTAATAAACTATATTAATTATTTTTCTAATTTTCAGAATAATTGTGATAAAAGTTAATATCAATAATGATGTAACACTTATAATTGGTTAGCAATGTAGAAACAATTTAAAATGACCATGCCAAACGTTTGCGTGATTATTTTATGGGCTAAAGTTTTATCATTCTTTTTTTCTTTTTTTTTTCTTTTTTTTTTCTTTTTCTTGTTTTTTCTTTTTTCTCTTATTTTATCTCTTTTTTAGGAAAATAATACACAAATTGATATATTACAAATTAAAATTTAACGTAAAATAAAATAAATTCTTATAGATGGGTTGTCTTCCATCAAGTGCTTCTTTTTCGTCATTAGCTTGACAGTCTATGTCTAAGGCACGTCATCACGCCGGTCAACCTTGCTACCTTTTTCTTTCAAATGGTAGCATGTATCCAAGTCCTCTACATACGATATTCAGTTGTCGCTACTGCGAAAATCGGCGTCGGCTGACAGAAGAGTCGCCACCGTGCGTTATTTATCCCAACGGAGGGAAAGGAAACGCTCGAAGTAAACCTCGCAAAAAACGGGAAAGGTATGGTCGTCGCAACCAAAACCTGGGTTCGGGAGTCGGTTACGCAAGGGGAAGGTATTAACACCCCTCACGTCCGTCGTACTCGACGGGATCCACGCTTGCTTGGGTTATCTAAAGGATGCAAAAACAATCTATCTACGGCTGCTAAATCTAAACGGAAGTAAATTGACTCGATAGAGCGTCGCACTCTACGCCTACGTATTCTCAAGAGAGAAAGTCAGAGTCAACGTAGTTCGGGACTACAGGAAATTGGCTCGCCAAGACCTCGCGTCTTGTGCCTACGTACTTCCACACTGCATGGAAGATCAGAGCTTACGTAGTTCAGGCTAACTACGGCTAAGCAAAGGTGTTCTCACACAGGAGTGAGATATCAATCTGGTTTTAAAGGTTCGGGAACCTATGGGAAAAACTACGGTCTGGTCTCAAATGCGCTCGGGCAAGAGAAAAGGATAACATCAGTCGTCAGCGGGAAAGTCTCGATCGCACAGCAGCGAGAGAACAAAAGGTTAGTTGTTAGTGTGCTCGCTAGGATATCGCATCCTATGCCTACATATTCTCGTCTGGTACGAGAAATCAGAGCAGCTGTAGTTCGGCTACTTTCGGGACCACAGCTCAAATCTCGTTTTATTAACATTCTGAATAAAAAGGGTTACAATGATTGAGTACGGAAAATAAACTCCTAAAAATCCTATCCATCTAATATGGAAAATCTAATGAGAAAAATAGTCCCCTAACAAGTGGACTTCTAAGACTACCTCTAAAAGGGTAAAATAAACTCTATGAAAAATTATATCCTAAAAGAAAATATTAAATCTACAAACTGATATTTTTATATTCCTTTTTACTATTTTTTCTTTCTATTCTTTTTTCTTCTTTTTTCCAATATTTTCTCTTAATATTCTTTTATTCTTTTTCAATATTCTTTTTCACTATCAATATTTTTTTTTCTTCAACTTTCAATACTCTTTTTCTTAATTTTTTTCAATATCCAAAGACCTAAACAAAAGAAAAGAAAAAAAAATAGAGAAAAACAAAGGAGGTGCCAAGCTGCTGCTAGGAGAGGCATTCAGCAAAAACAATACAAACTGGGCCTAGCCCAATGCACCAATTCAGAAAAAAAATAAGGAAACCCAGGGGGGGTAAATGGAGGAAACGGATGTGTAGCCAGCAAACACGCATTGGGCCCAGCCCATTAGCTCACACAAAAACAAAAAAAAACGGAGGGTGCCACGGAACCAGGGGGGTACGAACCCAAACATCCAAGTAATTGGGCCTTCAGGCCCAACGACCAACGGATCCCCTCCCACTCTCACTCTCTCAATCCCTGAAACCCTAGAGGCTCTCTTTCCCTCTCCTTGCGCCGTCGCCACCGTTCTCACCCTCATCTCTCTCCGTTCGTCGTCTCTCTCCGTTCGATCCTTCTTGCTGAAACAAATCTCTTCCCAAAAAAAACCTCACCGTCCAAAACACTTCTTCCTCCTAAAGCTTCTCTTCCTCAGATCCCCCACTGTATTTCTTTAACCATCTCCGATGTATAATACTTCAAAATCCAAATAAAATAACGAATCCACCAAATCAAGACGAATCGCAAGACGTTTTTCAAACCCTGGAGGCTAAATCTAGAGCGTTAACGAGTGAAGTAGATTGAAGTGGAAATCCAACTGTGTTCTTGGGGCGAGTTGAAGGTTAAATCTGAGGTTGAAGATCTCTGGGGTTCTGAGGACGATTCTTGCATGTTGACAAACGGTGAATCCGAGACCTGATTTGAAGAGGTAGAACATCAGTTGAAGTTTCCAGCGGTAGCTCTCTGGAAAAAGTTCGAAGATCGATGATGATGATGATGTGTTGATGAAACCTGGAGATTAGATGCGGTTTGAAGAAATCTTGAAGGTTTTGGGAACGTCATGAAGGATCTGGAGATTTGCTTGAATGTTCTTGGCTGGATTTTGGGTGAAGGATGAGGGAGATCTTGAAGATGATGAGCGAGACGACGAACAAACCGAGATATGAAGAAAAACCGATGAAGTTTGTGGATCATTTTCCAGAAGACGACGAACAATCCTGCATGTTCTTGAAGATCCTGAACGAAATCTGGAATGAGATCTGGAGATTAGATGAACTCTTTTTGGATATCTATTGAAGATTATTAATGATCGGAGTTTGTGATGAACATGGGAGATCGGGAAGAACACGGTGGCGATCAATTATCATTGAGGTTGATTTTCTGGGAAGAGGATGAAGTTGGATTGGAGGAGATGGTGAATGGAGAAGAAGATGAATTTCTGGAGTTTTTCCAGTTTCCGGCGAGGTTTACGGCGGCCGGAGACTGTTACTGGTTGGTTATGGCTACCGGAAGAGGTTGGGGGCGGTGGTTGCATGGCCGCCGGCCATGCAACCGGCGAGACTCAAGCGAAGACGCGTGTTATGGTTGGGTGGCAGAGGGAGAGAGACGGAGTGACAAGTGTGGAGTATTGGCTGAAACGTGTCACGGAGAGAGGGAATGGAATGAATGAGGTGGCAGATTCTGGTGAATTATGGAAAAAATGTGGCGTCCCCTCATCATAACATGTGGCTTGGTATATATATGGACAAGCAATTATGGACTTTGAAGACTGGGCCTCCACACCCTGGGCCCAACGCAATGATACAATAAACCCCAACAAATCTGAATTGAAACGGATTAAACTCAAAAAAACCTAATTAAAGACTAAACCTAATTAACTAGCTAATACTCAACTAACTAATCCAAAAATTAAGACTAATCTAATCTAATTAATTCTAACAAACTCTAATTAAAATCTAAACAAAAGATTAAAATCCTAATTAATCTCTATTAAGTCCTAATTAACCCTAATAAGGAGAATTAACATCTAATTAAATTCTATATTAAACTAAAACTAATATCTATTAATCTATTAAAGAAAACTATTAATTCCTATATCTAGATTAAAATCTATATCTACAAATTTACTATATTAAAGAAAAATCTATTTAAAACTAATAAAAGAAAA